AGGAATCCGCTAAAACCATGATGGTGTCGTTGAATTCCGTAGAAAGAAATACATCCCGAAGTTGTTTTAGAATAGCTATGCCTGCAAATAGCGGTAGTGATGGTGGCCCAACTAATATCTTGTCCCATAAATGATAAGTCTTTTCAAGTGGGAAAACATCTAATAATATAAACATTGTCAATATAAAAGTCGGCACAAGACATCACGTATTCATACATTACAAGCACTTACGAGTAAACAAGGTCAAGAACCATGGAACAGCATATAAATCAGGAAGATACTCCATCCTAGTTAGGTGAGACGATAATTCTGGGTCGTGAAATGATAATAATTGACCAAATACTGCCAAGTATTCCTGAATGACAGGAGAGTTATCGTACAAGAAAAAGTCTTTTAGAAACTTTGGGACAAAGGTTTGTAAGCAACTGAATGCCAACGCTTCATCATTAAAGTTTAGTGTTAGGAATGGAGTGCATAACGAATCCAAGCCTGTGTTTAATGAAAGAGAGTAAAAACACGTTGAATATGGACAAAGAACTCATTTTCGTTGTTACAATTGTAGAAAATAGTTGTGCACCAAAACGATAAGGAATTAAAGCATTACCTTGCCAATAGACCTGAGTCTTATTTGCCTTGATGAAACATTTCAGTAACCTTTTCAGCTTTTCGTGTCCCACAGGCGAAGAAAGAAGTTGATTGTATTGATGGCAACGGGGAACATCTATGTCATCGTTAATTTCGATGCTTGACATGGGTAGGCATATGAAGAATAGAAAAACAAATTTTGTAGATGCTTACCAACATCAATCTAAATATAAAATTTCAACAAATAATAAGAAGCTTATTACACCAATTTACAATATATTTTATCATGAGTAGGAGCTCACCTGTCTGTCAATCTCACTTTCTTTATCATAAGCATCATATACAGCTTGATAATCGCCCGTGATGTTCAATATAGCAGCCCACACTTTCCCTCGTAAGAATGGTGGAATATCGGCCTTTGAATGATGAACAATCTCTGCATGCGATGCCGGATACTGCTTAAGCAACTTGCTAAACAATGCGACGCGTTGGAATTGATATCCAACGTCTTTCTCTCGAATTAATAATGGTAACTTGACATTGTCAGACGGACTCTGCATTAGTCGATTAGCCGATTTGGTCGACACTTTAGAAGTGGTAGAGTCTGAATAAATATATGTATCCACTAACTGGTTATCTGACATTTTGCTGCTGTCATCTGACATAGTGTCAACGAGAAAATTCATATCGTCCGTATCGACTACTAAAAAATAATCAGTGTCCCATTCAAATGTATCTCGATTTGGTCCAGTCGCTGCTTCCAAACGTTGGCGGAGTTCTTTCAGTGATAGAGTGCAAATTGTGTCTGAATACAGGAATGCCGTATCTTTACGTGTACCCTCTTCTTTGCCATCGCTTACTCTTACTGTACGGGGTATTCGTTCGATCGGTGGCGTGCTCAGTAGCAAATCTTCCTTGGCTAATTCGGATTCAACGTCGCCACCAGCCAATTTCCAAAAGTAGTATATTTGTGATAGAGGAATTCCATGCAATATGTCTTTATCTCCTCTGTCTGGTGCCGTTGAGTGTTCTAGACTTAAACAGGACGAATACAGAAATGGCTTGACCCACCAGTATTTGTATTCTTTACCAACTCCGGCTTCATGAATCGGTGTAAAGAATGAGTGGGATAAGAGTTGATCTGGAGTATACCTATTTGAAACGTTCACTTCTAGGCAACATTTGACAAATTGTCTAAATTCAGTATACTCGTCAGCTTCAGTTGATTGAAGCAATTTAAGGATCGGTTCATGTATGCCTGATATATCAGAACTATCCCACACTCCAGTAGCATTTTTATCAATCTGTTCTGATTTACTCAATAACTCCCAAAGAGATGCAGTTATTTGGTTAATGTCGTCGACATCAGCATCCCAGAACGGAGATCCGGTAAATAATTCTGCAAGTATTACTCCCAGAGACCATACATCCACCTAAAAATATATCAGTAAGCAAATGTTAGCAATAAACGCTTTGTGCTATTGTCAATAATATCATAGTTTTTTTTTTTAAAAAAAAAACCTTTTTAGTGATAAACGGATCAATTGTTTGCGAATGATATATTGCTTCGGGGGATAAGTAGTTTGGAGATCTAGCGAAGAATCCAGAATGCGATATTAGCACGACGTTAGCATGATATTGTTTAACCGTACCAATTCCTTTCATACCCAATTGGAAAATCTACATCTGCCCCATTATTTGTCATATAGTACATTCCATAATCAGCCAGTTTCACGTAATGCTAAATTTAAAAGTTAAAGTTGAAAAAAAAAAAACAAACGACATACAAAACACAAACCAATAGTACGTGAACAGGATATGATACGTACCCCCGAAGCTAACAAGATATTCTGTGGTGCTAAATTGTGATGTATTATATTCCTAACATTCAGATAACTCAACGCCTTTAAAACTTGAAAAGCCCATTGTCGTAGGGTTTCGACTTCCACTCTACAGATAGTCATAGTGTGCGTATGAGATAAAGTAATGCATCAGATGGCAGTATCGCCGTTCTTGACTTTTCATACCTTGTAACATGAGCTTTGCCTTTGTTGTCTACTTTGTATAGATCTCCGACATTATAGTTATGATATTCGAATATGACAAACATTCGATCTAAAACGCGTATCGAATTAGCCGATTTCACATACAAATACTATCACGTTTTCCACGTACCATGTTTGCCTTTGACAATATCCACATATTCACATATATTAGGATGATAAAGTGTCTATATTGAACGAACCCGATCAGATAGAGCGAAAAAGAAAAAGGGTGCAATGTGTTACAGTCATGCATTGCACTAACCTTCAAATACTGGAATCGCCCAAATATTTCGGTTGTTGCGGTTGCTATGGTAATATTTAATCAATCAACTTTTATATATTTTCATGTCAACTTTCCAACTTTTGCCATGCTCTCTCACTCGGTCCAACTTTTCTTACGAATGGGGACACTTACCCGGCGCAATATCTCTATCTTCAACTCTAGCGACAGCTGAAAAATTACTTACGCCTAACTGTATATCACGACTAGGCAAACCTATACAGTTGATGTCCTTATCCGTGGCGAATGTTGCCATGTATCATCACTTGTACATTTCAAGCTTGTAATAATGGAGGATACAAATTAAATAATCACGAGAACATGGTATGCCTAATTTGGTTGATTGCAGATCTGTGATAACCGTTGTCAAAAATGTTTGTTGATCAAAGGGATTTTATTAATTATTGCAAATTTTGGGACCCCTCGAGGCAAATCACACTTGTTTTGGGAACTAAAGCGTGAATGTTATACAGCATTTATCGCATTTGATATCGAGAAACGAATTCTTTGCCAAATCGATCGTCTGTTAATATTATGAAGCTCGGAATTCTATTTTTGACGACGTATTTCTTGTTCTTTAACGCTTCACCTAAAGTAACTTGCTTCTCAATATTCACCAGCGCAACTCGGTCTCCGTCATCTGAATCGGTCTCAAAATAAATCTTTATCGTCTTGGGCTTATATTTGAAATCCTTGTCCCAAGGTGCAGGTGACTCGAACATCACCTCGAGATGATCGAGAAAAGTGTCGTCTTCATGGAACTGACTTATAAAATCAGATTCGCGATATTCAGGGTATAGGAAGAATACCGGCCAAATTAACCTATCCGGATTTTCAGGGTCTAGATGTACCTGTGCGTCTGTTGAGGGGGCATCGGATGTAGTTTTCGTACGGATGCCGCGAGACTAAAGTACAAGAGAACATAAGAATAAAGTCCAAACAAATTATTCTAAAGAGGTGTACATAGTGATGTGGTTTACATTAATGGATCTATCGATAGCTTCCTTGGTTTCGCGGAGTGTCCGATCACGTTCAGTCTTCTCGCGTCTCTTTTGATCAAGGACTTGTTTATGATTCAAACACTTTTGCTTCTCAGTCTGAAAGGCTTTATTTTGCGGTTCGATCTGTGATAAAAGAATATCTTCCCACATAAACTTGCTGCAAAATGTACCGTAATAAAGGCAAAGTAATTTAAGCATTACCTGTAGACCCCTTTCACAGCAATCAAGAGCTTCATCCATCTTATCAAGTGCATAGAGTGCTTTTGCAGACCGATAATAAGCCTTTACATTTTTCGGGTTAAGCTTTAGAGCCTGCGCGCAATCATTTAAAACCCTACGGTAATTTTCTAGAAGATTAAGCTCTAACTGAGGATGACAAAACAAAACCGGTCCAGTAAAACCAAACATGAATAGATGTTCAAATGAGTTAAATTACTCACGTAACTCTAGATTGACGGCAGCGCGATTTACATAAATAATTTCAATCAATTTCATGTCATTGCATTGGGCTTCCAACGCCTTTGTGTAATATGTTATTGCATCTTGGTAATGTTCAGGACCAGATTTGAAGGCGTCATTTCCCTGATTCTTGAAATTCTCGGCAACTTCTGTAAATGTAGGATGGAGCGTAAGTAATTGTTTCAAAAATGTAAAGAAAAATGACAAAACGAAAATGAAAACCGGGCATGCCAACATTTTACTTGATGTATACTGAGTGAGATACATTGACTTTCGATACGTGTTAACATACCTTCAGCTGGACCATCATAAATCAAACTCTGTAATGCAACCATTGCGTCATTATCTTCTTCAGGGAGTTCGGTCATGAATAATGGAATCTTGTTTAATTCTCTTGCAAGGTCATCGGGCTTTACATTACCAAGACCTCCATCAAACTTTGCAGTCTGAGGACCGAACGTGCGATCTGTCATGTTTGTCTGTTAACAAGCTTTATTATGATAATATTGTCATTTTGTTGTTGTTCATAAATTTAAAAATTTCTACCCTTTCACATGACTATGCTGAAATATGATTGGAAGAACTTGGATAAAAAATCTCAACATTGCAACCAATCTTGCAAAAAAGAACATGAGCCAACCGCTGCGAGTATACTTGCGAATATGGCCATACATCCAAAATTTTCATGATGGAAAAAAGATCTATGATTTTCTCAAAAAGTACGGAGACATTGAAATTTTTCACATCAGGAGGGTAAGTGAAAAGTTTCGCGTCTTTACGACAGTCGAATGTGCCAATCTGACTGGAACAATCACCTTTTCCAATAGGAAATTGAGACTAGAAAATATCAGCGTATAGGCTTTGTTCAATATAAAGAATCTGAAAAAGTCAAACATTTAGTTTCGAAAAGCTATTATAGTTTCAACTCGATGACGATGAAAGTCGAGATGTCCGACCCCATAAGTATGGCAAAACCAATTTGTTTTAGCTTATTTGCAACGTTTATTTTATTTTATTTCATTTCATATGCAGCCAATATATACGGTGATGCAAGTGTGGATCAGCCGTCTTTTAATGTGCAAAGGACTTGGGCGTGGAAGGGTTTCTATATGACACATTCGACTTTTATCGGTGAAATGAAACAAAAGAATACAATGAATGGAATGAACTGATGAATTATGAGATTTGTTGAATCTCGGGAGTTTTGATGTTGGGTGTTAATATTACAACATTATTGTAAATTTGTTATATGAAAAGTGCAAAAAATTCAGCATATTATACATTATTCAGCATTTTTGACTAGTACTAGTAAAGAGTGTAATAATAATAATAACAGTGCAATAAAAATAAATTTTAAGAAAATTAAGTAAATTATAGATAATGGGAGAAGTTGGTTTTTTTTTCCACAGTGATATTGATATATTACAATAGACCAATTAGAATGCTAAAACTATATTAATAGACCTTCAATATTCGTTAAATAAATTTTACCCTTCTGGGGTTATTTAAATATAAAGCAGACATTTTGTATAAATATTGGGCATGAATTTTTCAGTAAAATTCGTTCCAGAGTTTAGCTTCTAGATGATAAACAGATGAATATGAATGCCATCAGTCCGATTCCCGAGAAAAGAAACGGTGTATTCGATTTATGAATCTAAATAATTTTATAATGAAATAGCACATTTATAAAATCACCGTTCTTGTCGGCGGTAAAGCTAAAAGAATGCTTAATTTCAGCAAACATAAGAATAACGCATTCCATTTAATGAATAAAACTGATGTAATGTTTTCACTTTCGAGCTTGCAAATTTAAAGGCTGCTAGAGCAGCAAAACAATCACAAATGTATACCAGAGTGAAGCCTCTGTAAGCAAAGGTAAACAAAACTTGTGATGTTAAAACTTTGAGGTATATACCGAAAAAGATGAAAAGAAAAAAAAAAGGTCAGCCTAATTCAAGCAAAAAGATAGATTAACCGATAACTATATGATATATTAATATTTGTCCTGAGGTTAATATGGCTGAATGAAAGCTTTATCCCGGAGCCTAGTAATATACTGGGCCACGTAATATTTCCTAGCATGTTTTCCACATAGGCCCGGTTCGGAGCTAGTCGGCTTTCCGCAAGCCTTACAAGGAAGGCGCTTTCTAGCTCTCCAATGCTCATGACACCGTTCCGGACGACGGCAACTCCGTCCGCAGACGGCTCCAGACCTGAGCAGGTAGTTGCAAGAATATTCGCCGTACATGATATCCTTACTATGTTCGACAAAAGATTAATGGGTTATGACTAAGATTGATTAATAACAGATTGCCCAACATCTACCTTTGAGTCTATAAGAAAAAGTGGGAGTGTTTGTTTTAAACAAAAGTTTTCGCTATATCAATACAGCGGAATACTTCACTAAAACAACTCCGGACCCTCGAGGTGATAAGATAACTTTCTGATCGAGACACTTAATAGGCAACGTGCTGTGTCCAATTGGAAGTCGAGTAGCTTCAAAATGAATACCTTCAAGCAAACTGGTGCTACTCAAAACTGTTCAGTACCTAAGCCACGCCAGCGCATACAGGTTTTCTATAATAGGTATCCAGAACAACATGACTTGCAGGTAGAGTAGATGAGATTACTCTTCATGTCTGAAGTATGGGTTAATTTTAACCCTAGATAATATATTAATATTTCATCTATAATAAGTAATAATCCACCATGGAACAAAACCATTAAAAAGAAACAATTGTTAAAATAACCAATGCAGAAATACAGAGACTGATAACAAAATTTAATACGAACAGACTTTACTATCTACTGCTACTTTTAACCGATTACTATATCATCGTAATAGTCTTTACGTCAAATTAAGGCGTCTTAGTCTGGGGCATCCACGATTTAGTGTACAAAGTATTCCTACATAAAGAGTCAACTCAATATTCAACATGTGAGATTTGCAAAAGTTAAAGTTTTTACCATGGCGGCTAACTTAAGCTCAATTTAGAACAAGCTATGGCATTTGAGGCTTAAGATATTGTGGCGATTCGTTTGGTATTAGTGTATCTTGTGTATGAGCACGAAATAGACGAACGTAACTTGATGAACGTTAAACGAATCACATTAACTTGTAAGCAGTAAACAGTTGTATTAAAGAATGCGTAATAATATGCTAGCTTTTAACGTCCATTTCAAAGCCAGTAAACACCCCAATATTAATACAATATCGTCATCGCGAATTAATTAAACCGACTGTCGCGACAGTTGCGGTTGTTAACCGCAATACTCCTTCCCGTATATGATATCTATTAATATCGCAATTTATTTCCCACATCATTTCGCACTTTACTAGTGAGTGGTAGGCGCGTCAGTTTTAATATTGTATTCTTAATCACGTGAATCAGCACAAAAATTTCAAATTTTAGAAATTGAAGACGGAAAACACGTTTGTCTGGATCGAATTATGGACGACTCTCTATATGACGAATTCGGTAATTACCTCGGTCCTGAACTTCCCTCCAGCGACAACGAAGAAGAAGACGAACAAAATGATATCCCCCAAGGAGAACTTTCCCCCAAAGACCAACAGCCATCTCCCGGCGAACCTTCTATGGAGCTGATGGAAATCGACGGTAAGTTTCTCGCTCTCTCTATCACAACACAACCCTCTAAAACTCCCTGAGCCTCTTATCTTGATTTTTTCACAGAGCTCCTCCATTCCTTAGTCTTCCCTCCCCCCCTAGTCAACAAACACGCTTAACCTCGACACACAACAAATAACCACCACTACACCATTATTCGGCTTGCCTCCTTCCTTCCAGATACACCCTCGACTGCCGTTGTCCTTCATGAAGATAAGAAGTATTATCCCACAGCTGAAGAAATATATGGGCCGGACGTTGAAACTTTGGTTCAGGAGGAAGATACGCAACCATTGACAGAGCCTATTATTAAACCGATCAAGATTAAGAAGTTTCAAGTACAGGAAAAGGATCTGCCCGAGACGCGGTACAAGAAAGAGTAAGTCCAAGTTGAACTTGTGCACAGGCTGAATTCCGCATGAAAGACCTTTGACTTTTCGTCTTTTTGTGCTCTACATTTACAGATTTCTGGTGGATATGATGAATTTACCCGAACTAGTCCGAAATATCGCGATTGTTGGACATTTACATCATGGAAAGACGTCTTTCGTCGATATGCTTGTTAATGAGACGCATTCTTCTATTGCTTGGGATGTTGATAAGCAGGTAGGTCTCATGTTCATATTCTATTCGATGTCGTCTTTTCATAAGGGGTAACGATCTTATATGCTCTAACTTTATAAGGAACGGTATACAGATACGCATACCCTTGAGAGAGATAGAGGTGTTAGTATCAAGAGCATGCCTATGACGCTTATCCTTCCTGACACTCGAGGCAAATCTTATTTGTTCAATATAATCGATACACCTGGTACATACTTACATACCCGAGAGAATGCTATCCTAATTGCTTTTATTATGCTCTTGAAGGAATACTAAGGATCTACGATTTATTCTCGATAGGTCACGTTGACTTTGTAGACGAAGTAACTGCCGGTCTACGAGTGGCTGATGGCGTCGTCATAATCGTCGATGCTATTGAAGGAGTAAATATAATATTCCATCATCGTTGGTATTGATTACAAGTTATAATTTAAGTCTGATTTACGGCGCTTTATCTTTATTCAGGTGATGGCCAATACGGAACGAGTAATTAAACATGTGATACATGAACGCCTATCATTTGTTTTAGTCGTGAATAAAGTCGATCGGCTTATTCTCGAACTGAAAATACCGCCAAACGACGCGTACTTTAAATTAAAGCATACAATTGAGGAAGTTAATACTATGATCAGGTATTTTTGTAATGGAACATAAACATTGGAGTAAAAATGGTCTGGTTAATCAGGTCGTCAATTTTATAGCGAATGTTCACCGGATCAGGATCTACGAGTATCACCCGAACGCGGAAATGTATTATTCGCGTCGACACAAATGGGTTGGTGCTTCACATTGAGATCGTTCGCAAAGATGTATTCTAGTTCTTACGGTAAGTGAACGAGGATTTATATCGACAAGTATCTACAACAAGGAACACTCATAATGCGTTCTGTAATTAGAAGGTATAAATGCTGATGAATTTGCATTACGTCTCTGGGGCGATATATATTATAATCCAAAAAAGAGAACGTTTTCTCGAAAATCGATGGAGCAAGACAGTCAGAGGGCATTTGTGCATTTCATTTTGGAACCACTGTACAAATTATACGCACAGGTGTGACGGATAACAATTTCTACATTGTCATTACCGTTGGTTTCGCACGTTGTTAACTTATGAATTATCATCTTCAATGATCAGGTCATTGGTGAAGATGAGCAAACGTTAAGAAAAACGCTGTCTTCCTTAGGGATACGCCTCAGGGCATCTCATTTTCAGCTTGATGTTAAACCTCTTTTAAGGATAGTTTTAGATCAGTTCTTTGGTACTGCCACCGGATTTGTCGATATGATAGTACGACATATTCCATCACCGATGGATAACGCAATTAACAAGGTACTTCTGGTTCTTGTTTTTACAGACCACATATTCCCTCTCTAATTCGTATACGTTGCCAGGTCGAACACATTTATACTGGTCCAATGACATCCAAAACCGCAAAAGCCATGCGCTCATGCGATGCCGATGGGCCATTGATGGTCCACATCACGAAACTGTACAATTCGGCCGATGCATCTCGATTCGATGCATTTGGTCGGATAATGTCAGGGACTGTCCGAAAGGGACAAAGTGTCAGAGTTCTCGGTGAAGGGTACTCGATTGAAGATGAGGAGGATATGACTATCCAAGAAGTCTCGAATGTGTGGATTTTTGAATCAAGGTAATAATTTGACAATGAAGTATGATATCTTGGCGATTATAGCTTATAAATGTTGAATGGTTAGGTACCGTATTGAAGTCGACGGCGCACCTGCTGGAAACTGGGTTTTGCTCGAAGGCGTAGATAACTCAATAGTGAAGACGGCAACGATAACAGATAAAATTGTCGATGAAGATCTTTATATATTTAGACCGCTTTCGTTCATTACAACGGCTGTTCTCAAAGTAGCTGTTGAACCTGTTAATCCGTCAGAATTACCCAAGATGTTGGATGGACTAAGGAAGATTAACAAGAGTTACCCTATTGTGATAACCAAGGTCAGGACGAATTTCTTCATGTAATTTGATTGCATTGTCTACTCAATAATATGGTTTGTATCTAAATGTTTTGTGTTCTATCAGGTTGAGGAATCTGGTGAGCACATTATCCTCGGAACTGGCGAACTGTATCTTGATTGTGTGTTACACGACCTACGACGGATGTACGCTGAAATTGAGTTGAAAGTGTCCGATCCGGTTGTGCGATTCTGTGAGACTGTTGTCGAGACATCAGCACTGAAATGCTTTGCTGAAACGCCAAACAAAAAGTTTGTATAACATTCTGTTAAGTTCATTCGTACCTATTTGGTCTTTTGTTTTCACGCTGATTGAATACCAATACTAGGAATAAGCTGACAATGATAGCAGAACCGCTAGAGAAAGGTTTAGCAGAAGATATAGAACAAGGGAGAGTTTCTATAAAATGGCCTGAAGAGGATCTCGCTAAATATTTTGAAGACAAGTACAACTGGGATATTCTCGCAGCGAGGTCCATATGGGCCTTCGGGCCCGACGAGAACGGACCAAATATTCTTCTTGATGATACACTATCGTTTGAAGTTGATAAGAAGTTGCTCTATAGTGTTAAAGACTCAATACGCCAGGGTTTCCAATGGGGCACTAGAGAGGGGCCATTGTGTGATGAACGTGAGTTTTTACTTCGTTACAACAACAAAAAGTTCTTATTTTTCATTTGACGCCTAAAATTCTTGTTACGTATTGACAGCTATAAGAAATGTAAAGTTCAGAATACTAGATGCAGTATTGGCAGCTGAGCCCATTTATCGTGGTGGAGGTCAGATTATTCCCACAGCAAGACGAGTTTGTTATTCGGCCTTTCTTACGGTTAGTATATGGCTTCGCTTCCCATTTGGTTATTGCCGTTCAATCTTCTGAACTGTTGTGTTTAGGCTGCTCCAAGGTTGATGGAACCTGTGTACTATGTCGAAGTCCAAGCACCAGCTGATTGTGTGTCTGCCGTATACACTGTGCTTGCTCGGCGAAGGTAATTCGCATGATAATGTTTACACATCTAGTTAAAGATATGAATAAAGCATTCCTGATTATTTAGAGGCCATGTGACTAAAGACATCCCAAAGGCCGGCTCGCCTTTGTATACTGTCAAGGCGTACGTTCCAGTTATTGACGCAAATGGCTTTGAGACTGATTTGCGCACTCACACGCAAGGACAAGCATTCTGCCAGCAGATGTTTGACCACTGGCAGGTAATACAACTACTTTGCCTTACGAATTTCATTATGTGTGACACGTTGAAAGTAATTCTTTTTATTGATCAACCGCGCAGATCGTACCTGGGGATCCATTGGACAAGACGATTGTTCTTCGACCATTAGAACCTAGCCCTGCTCCACATCTAGCAAGAGACTTTATGGTTAAAACTCGTCGTCGAAAGGGATTGTCTGAGAATGTATCGCCTAGCAAGGTAGGATGGGGTGCTGTCTATGTCATTTTTTCTATTCATTGATACTAACTATTCGGGTTTCCATTCTACACAGTTTTTCGATGACCCTCTCCTTCTTGCAATGGCTCAGTTAGACGTCCTAGTTTAAACTGTGGATCCGGATTAACGAGGTTGATTAGGTACTAAGATTTTGACGTATATTCGCATGCCACGTTTCTTTGTGTCAAGTTTATTTAAAGAAAAGCCGTTTGGAGCACTCACACATTTATTTTTTTGAAACTCATATCGTATTCTCTAAAAAAAGGACGCAAGAATATCTGGAGCGATGAAGTATATACCGATCAAGAAAGGGATTGATGTCATGAGATACCATTTTTTTCTGGGGAGGCGAATTCCTCTGATACTAAAAAGTATTATTAAATTTTCTCTCGATCTGAATCCCAAGACTTTTACTCCTACCCCACCATCCCACAACCAAAACACCAAATCACTAAATAATGAAGTTATATAGTAAGTCTCGTTATAAGATATAGTCAAACAATATTAGTAGATATAGTGAAGATTGTCCACTTGATGGATTTTGACCAATCATAATACAACAAAAGCATTAAAGTGAGAATTTATAGAGTGAAACAGAGTGGCAGTTCAGAGAGAAGAGGTTTATCTGGTGTCCAGAAATCTGAAATCGTCGTTTAAAAGAGCGAGCCGTTAGCCAAGTTACAATAATGTTTTATGTTCGCTCACAAACATTATCTATTGCATGACCAATCAATGAGCGTTGAACCAAATAATAGTGCGACCGTTTAGTCAATGTTACTCTTCGTTCTTCGTTTTTTTGAAAACCTTGATCGAAAGCAAGAGGTTACTATTACATAATTACTTGTAACTATATGACACTTGCTACGTTAAACGACTTAGTACCAGTACATTTCATATGAATCGTTAGTTCAGCACAATTAAATAACGTTTGAGTCGTTTATTATTATACTATGATTGGCCAGTCGCGATATAGTGAAGATTTACGAACTTTACTATATTGAAATTTCGAAACTCCCGTCGACTTTACTATATCGAGGTTTGACTGTATCTGTTATGATAATTCTGCGACGGCCTTAATTGATGCTCCTATGAATAATAAGAAATTAAGCAGTAAAGGAATGATTAGTAATAATAATACCGAATAATAATAAATAGCGTGTAACGCCACCGAGAACTCTAAACAGCATTGTGGGGACGCTCTTATAACACAGCAATATACTCACCCGCCGGAATTTGGAACCTGATGCTTTCACCGGTAGATTGATACTTGTTTACGAAATTTATTCCGCATATTAGGAAAAGTGGCAGTTTTACGTATACAAATACGCGTAAACTAGGAAGATGGCTACGCTCCTCTTATCATCGAGTGCCACCTGAAATCCTTGCGGAAAATATCATACTGTATAACGTAGAAACACATTACATATACTTTATCTTCTAATTTAGAATAAACGTAATGGACTTTATGCTATTAACCCCTTTACCATAATTAAGCGCGCGTCACTTTAGAATGTAAAGGAAGCACCAATGGTGAAGGCTTGCAGACAGAATTCGACCGGGATCGATATGCCAATGCTATTATTTAAGGATAGAATTGTTTGTGGTAACTACGGGTAATTATAAACATTAGAAGGAGGTAAAACCTTTAAATTAACAGACAATTAAGTTATAGGTTTTATCTCCAATTTTGAGTCACTAAATTGCAGGCAAGGGTAATAAGCAATGTAAACAGAACTTCATTTATACAAAATTGATGCCCTTACGCTTTTTGAGATTTACATCGCGTTTTTCCGTCACTCCCATAACAATTGGATGATCAATCCATTGGATAGTAATCTATGACCGCAATTGCACCACACGGGAGTATTCCAAATACGGAGCAGAGCCATATCGAGAGTATGAAAAAAGCATTCATTATTATCTGCACCCATGTAAATCCATATCTCATTGTATTGCGATTCACTCATATCGTCTAAATTGACTGACATACTTGTGTTGGAAGTGGTATATTTATTCACAAGCATTATCTTCAAGCAGAAAAGCATCTAAGCCTACTTGCCATTCTGCCATTATTATTATAATGTGTGTCACAAATTACGGTTGTGCAGAAGTAACACTAATAGTCAACAAAGAATTTTGCACCATTCTCTCAAGAAGGAAACTCGCTAATACTAAGTCAAACTTCGGTCGCAAATTGCATAAAAGATAAACACAAAAACCGGTTTTTTTTTGTGGTCACAAATTGCAAGAAATTCTGCGTTACAGCAAATGTACACGAGAAATTTTACAGATCTACCGTGCATGAATTAGCAATCAAAATAGTTATAACCTAAAAAAAATGCTTTTGAAATTTGAAGCCTTCACTTGCGTGAAGACGACTCGCTATCATAATACACATGGGAGTATCTAGCAATCTAATTCGCTGCAATGTACTTGGATACCCAAAGGGGCCGTTGGTCATTGTTAATTCCAGTTTACACGATGTTTCAGTTATGTGTATTGTTTTCACAAACACCAACAATAATCTCAAGCAGTTCATCCAATGGGTCGAATCGAGCAAAGAAAATTTTTAACCAAAGCTCATTTTCAATTAGTTTATGGCAATGGGACAGTACAATAAATAGTTGTAATAGTACATATTAAAAATTTATTTAGGTACAAGTTACAACTCTGTTCTAATATGACCTATCACTATATTGTAATAATATATTTAATATAATATAGCCGATGATCAAGCCGACAGTATATCATTGTAATCAGGGTGTTGTTCGTACTCGCACAATATCACCTGCAATTTATAATTCTCCAAATCGGTTGTCTTCGCATTTTTGATAGTGTTATGTACATCTTGCGCAAAATGAACATTATCTCCCAACTCCCTAAATTTATCCAGCGCATCTCTTTGTTGGTACGATTTCGGTAAGCCTTTTGTCGTATCCATCGTATAATAGTTGCCTTGAAAAGAACCGTCTTTAAAACTGTCGGTAATTACATCGAATGTCTCAGAGACGCTGAAAAAAAGGAAACTGACTCTGATGGTCACTTGCAGGCTTTCCATTCGTTCCATCTGTGACTTGGTGATAGTCAAGGCATCGCATTTTTCGCCGCCATAGATGATTCCAACGACAAAATATTTGCCGTATCTTCTGGTAAACCCATCTTTTCCTTGAGTTTTAAGAATATTTATAGCCTCGGCGGTGAATGGTTGAATTTTTCCAACAAATTGTTCTCTGACTGTAATAAAAAACTCTAGTGAAAGCGATAAATTAAGATTGATCTCTTTGGACCATACTGTTGTATGCGGCCGAAACAGAAGTAGAGAATAACGACCATTCCCACTACCAATTTGACCGCTTAAACTGAGGGATTGAAAATTTTTTTCATACTTTTGAAAAACTCTTTTGATTGTGGTCGTTTTGTTGAACAGAATAGTCTCTGTAATGAATGGCTGTTCGAAAGCAGTAGAAAATGTGGCGTCCTCACTGACTCCCATACCAATAGAGACGTTGTTGCCTTTTACGTATGGTATCAAAAAATTTGTTTCTTTTAGTTGGGTCATATTGAAGGAAAAAGTGAAGTGATGTTATTATCAAAATCCGACAGCCCTCAAAACAAAAGATAAGCGTCAATTTTTCGACGAAAAAGAGGTAAATACTGAAATATTATGCAATTGAGCAGCATCGGGTTTCGCCAAATTTAGCACTTTCCATCCAATAATACTAATTATAATGTACTCGATAATGGCGCTATTAATGGTTATATTACTGCTAAGCAACATGCTAAACATTCTCATCAATTCCCTGCAATCTGTGATCACAAGAAAACTGGTTTTCGTATTCACCTTTTCATACCCGAACTTTATTTCCTCTGCGATAATCAACGATCAAATCCTACCTTCTTTCGTTGAAGATACAAAAAATTAAGGGAAAGAGTAACTGCCCGCTACACCATGACAGTGCTGCCCTCATCACACATTTAAAGTTATAGGATTTTCGAAGCAAAAGCAAGTTAAGTTATTGTCTCATCTATTCTACATCCGAGATTTTGTCCATGTCATTTTTTGTTTTAATTTAAAATTATAAATTATTTGGTTAAAAAAACGTGTAGCAGAATTAAGGGCCTTCATGCAGTTGTTTTCAGTATCTCATAAAAAAAGTATTATAAGTTTTTTGAAAAAATAATTCAGTCGTTTTTGAAACTATTATGCAACTTTTCGAAATATAAAGTCAAGCGGCAAGAACTTTTTGAACCCCCCACGTATTATGTCTCGAAATAACCAAATAATTTTTGTCGGTAAAAGTGTGCGATTTCCAATTATTTTACGTTTCTGGGCCCATTTCTATTTGTTTTTTTTTATGATCTGTTGTGATTTGTAGGCGTTGTTAATAGTAATAGACATTTTTTTGTCACGTCAAATGCGCAAACTGTTATACAAGACTCTCTATCAACCCTTTGCGGGAGCCGTTCACTTGTGACAATCATTTGCCCGACAAATATTTACCAGCATTATTTCAAAGTTATCCCTTTTTGTGTAGTTTTTTCGGGCAAATGAACCGGACCCGTGATTTCTACTGAAGAGTGCGAAAAATTGTGCAATATCCAATAAAGTATGCACGTTGATGCCAATTATTGTAATAATTTTCTTTCAATTTGGACTAAATATTCAAAAACGTATGGAGGTGTGAATTTTAAGTTTATGCTATAAACAAGCGACACGCAATTTGATATGTTTGATATATTTTTAACGTTTACATAGACGTTTGAAAAATTGCTATAGATATCCAATCGCGCAGAAACTTTTACGGATAATCAGGCTTTATCATACACTATACGCAGGGAAATTTCCAACCCATTTTTCCATTCGTGTCCCGAGTTTGGATACTTACGATTGCTACTGTAAGTACGATATTGAGATTATCCCACCTAATTAACTGTTATAGTTTACGACAAAATGGTTCTATGCTCATAAAATTTATAAATGTTAGACATAATTATTGTTAATACACCCATTAAAAGTTGTTTCCAAAGCAATTCGTCCGACAAATTTAACTGAGAATATTACGTACAATTTTTTTATTCTTTAAAAGCACAAACTACGTACATTATCTTTGTAGACCTTATAAAGCATCGTTAATTATCGTTATCATTATTGTTTTAACAAAAGACGATACATCATTAACAAATTTGTTTCGTAGGTGTGATAAATATTGATAATCTGTTTGTTTTTTAGCTAGCTCTACTAAAGTTAAGAGCAATTATACGCTAAGTCTTGAAAAAAATTTTGAACTCATAGATTGAAGTGAAAAAAAAACCACAAACCTTTATTTAGTTGTCAGTAACGCTACGTTGGCCAGAAGTCACACTTTATACTACTCGGCAGTTTGTACACTAGATAAACTTTTCATAATGAGTAAATGTAACTTGTTATTATATAATGTCCAGATTTTGCATATCTTTAAATGATGCTATTCGAATTTTGATGGTGTTTAACTTGAGCGATAATGAAACAAATTTGAGATTGAATTAACGAAGAATGTTGCTATACAATAAAATAATAGAATTTTTTTACGCTGACAACTCACCTATCTGATCCGTCGACTACTGCCGTTTTGTCAGATCGGACATAAATTTTGTCGCTAATTCCATAGGTAAGCAAATTATTCCTCGGATAGCTTTCTTTTTTCTAATCATGAATAATGATGGGGGTTCTACATTGTGAGAAAAATATAAATAATAACAAAACATTAATTAATGTTAGTAATAGTAATGACATTATTATTAGTAGTTCGTTATTCGATCTCGCATTGCTTGTCATGCTTTCATTATCTTGCGTCATGTAACCTCCCGACAAAATCTTAATTATACAAGATGTTGGCTCATAAATTAGAAAACTATATTAAGTAAAGAATTTATAAACAGTAGCAAAATATAGTCAATAATAATACTACTGCAACCATAATATATTAGTATTTGCAAGGATGCAAAGTGTAATAAAGCATATAGGCCATAAATTACATAATTAACGTCGGCTATACTAAGCGTACACGTTGCAGCTCATTACAGCTAATTGTCTCATGTATAAATGATATGTGCACAAATCATAATCGATTGACAAAATAATATTTTACGGAATTGTGATACTAATTAGGCAACCTGCATGAGCAAAATAATAGTCAAAAATCACTAAATCTGCCGCTTTAATATTAAGTTTTATCATTGGTCTAACTGTACCTGGTACATAAAATTACATTTGGAACCACGAATATGGGAAGGTTGAACAGGAACTTTTGTTCTTTTTACTGATGCTTTTCTCGTATAATTTTGTTCGAAAAACGTCGAAAGAAGATGCCACGTCAGGCGGTGATTTCGTAATAATAGTTAAATAACGTCTTCTATTAGGTTGTTGCCGAAACTGTCAAACTTATTTTTGTCAGCATTTCTTAAAGCAAGCCCGGCCATTCCAAAAGCAGCAAGTCCCGAGAGAAACGTGGCCTGACATGTTACATGCTTTCCATTTATATTTACCACGTGTGTTGTACCCCAAAATCTTATCTAGAACATTCTTCTGATTTTTTTTGTGTGGTTAGCGTATTGAACCAATCAAAGCTAAACACGAAATCAGGAAAAACAGTATTTTATGACGGATCGCTGATACTTTTTTTGCTGCTTTGTTTCAATAAGACTGGATTTTATCGTAAAAGTATGAGATTACACTATAGTTTTGTGGCTTTCCTTTTGGCCTCTGCTCTTGCACTTGGGAGAGCTGATGAGGTTAATAAGGCCGATACAAGTGCCAAGGACAGGGTTGCTTTCAAGGTATATACACATAACATTAACAGGAAATGAAACCGTTACTGGTGATGATATCACATTATCGCAATGACTTACCTACTTTCCTCTTTGCCTTTATATTAGCCATCTACTGTCCCAGGGCATTTCGTAGAACAGTTTACTCCCGACTGGGTCGAGCGCTGGTCAACAAGCAAAGCGACAAAAGAGGAAGGCGGTGAAGAGTTAAAATACGTCGGCGTATGGTCCGTCGAAGAACCAACTGTCTATCCAGGAATAGAGAATGATGCAGGATTGGTTGCGAAGACTGCTGCAGCGCTTCATGCCATATCCGCGCAATTTACTGAACCATTGGATAATACGGGCAAGACTCTTGTTGTACAGTGAGTTTCTGCAAATCAATGCTGTTGTATATTGTCTTGATCTATAATTTATCGTGACCTCACATTTGTTCTCCCTTTTTCTAAATCAGATACGAGGTTAAGCCACAACAAGGACTTGATTGTGCTGGCGCATATCTCAAGTTGCTGACAAAAACCGATTCGACATTTCATGCTGAGGAATTTAACTCTACAACACCTTACACAATCATGTTTGGTCCCGACCGTTGTGGTGCCACCAATAAAGTCCATTTTATCTTTCGACACAAGCATCCAAAAACTGGAGAATATGAAGAGAAGCATTTGATTGGTGCTCCAACAGCCAATACCGAAAAGACCAGCTCACTGTATACTTTAATTGTGAGGTAATGAACAAATTATGTCATTGATTCAATTGTATGCGCCTATGACACTGGTTTATTTATATTGATGATTTGAAATTTATTAGGCCCGACAATTCGTTCGAGATTCGCGTTAATGACAAGGTGGAAAAGTCTGGAAATTTGTTGGAGTCATTCTCTCCCCCGGTTAATCCGCCAAAGGATATTGATGATCCAGATGGTATATAATCAAGTTTTAAAACTAATCTTTTGTAACTTTAGCTTGCCTTACTGCAGTTGATGCTGACCGGTTTGACTTTGGTTTTGATTTACAGATAAGAAACCTGATGACTGGGTTGACAACCCCAAAATTGCTGACCCTGGTAGGTAACAAACTTTATTTGGATTGATTATCAATTTCAGCTCGCTAAAATTTCTCCCATTCTCCATGTAGATGCGAAGAAACCCGACGATTGGTAAATGTTTGCTCGTATCTATTTTCGTTCATGGTACTATCTCCTTCTTTCTCTTTAACTTGTTATGTTACTAAAATCAGGGACGAATCAGCACCTTTTGAAATTGTTGACGAGGATGCCGAAAAACCCGATGATTGGCTCGAAGAGGAATCACTGACTATTCCAGACCCGGAGGCTGACAAACCCGAATACTGGGATGACGAAGAGGACGGAGCCTGGGTTCCGCCACAAATTAATAACCCGAAATGTGAAAATGTATCGGGCTGTGGTCCGTGGCAGCGTCCGATGAAGCGTAATCCCAATTATAAGGGCAAGTGGTATCCTCCACAAATTGACAACCCAGATTATAAAGGACCATGGTCACCCAGGAAAATCCCTAACCCGGATTATGTTGAGGATGCAACTCCGTCTAACTTTGAAAAGATGGTAGGTTTGTTGTTGTGAGCTGAAACGCTTTTTTTCACTCGACAATGACATGGCGTGTCTAATATATCAATATTCATGATGTACAGGAAGGAATTGGTTTTGAAATTTGGACAATGCAGAAAGATATTTTGTTTGATAATATCTATATTGGTCATTCTGAAGAAGATGCGAAAAAATTCGCTGAAGAGACATGGGCCGTAAAACACAAGATTGAGAAGGTTACGGAAGAAAAGGAAGAGGAATCGGTATCGCCGAGCGTGAGTATCCTTAAATCACGTCGACTTGCTCGAATGTTTCTTTAACCAACTAACCTTCGATACATTGAATCGTTCTAGACCGCTCCTTCATTTTCGGACGATCCGGCTGCATACTTGCAACACAAGGTCAATGAATTCCTCGCGGTCTTTTGGGACGATCCTATTAAGGGAATTACTGAATTCCCTGTAGTCGCTGGTGGTCTTGCCGGAGGATTTTTGGTTTTCTTTGTTCTCCTTGGACTGCTTTTCAGCTTACTTACTCCGGCTAAGAAGGTAATAGTCGAAATTTTATCTTTTCGTACTTTTTTACATGTAAGATTGCTGACGTTTCTGTATAATCGACCAGGCCTATCCTCACAAAAAGACCGATGAGCCCACGCCAGATGACAAGGACCCTGCTGCTGATGGACCAAGTACTGCAAAAGATGGATCAAGCTCTGCTGAGAACGAAGAAGAAGAGACCAAGCCAAAGAAGACAACGAAGAAGCGTTCTTCAAAAAAGACACGAAAAGACAATTAAACCGAAGTTTGGTTAATAATTAGATTTGATTTGAAATTTTAATGGAACACTGTAAAGAAATTATAATTTGCGTGAATTTTTGTTAATAAAATGATGAGAGTGCGCCGCCGGCTCTGATGAGTTTCGTGTGCCATCCATCATGAAACATAAACATTCAATTTTGAGTTTATTCGTGTATGAATTTGTACTTTTTAAATAAAGGGTAGGCAAAAAAAGAACAAAAGGTGTCCAAATACCACTGTCACTTTGAGACGTCATAAAATTAGCGAAAAAAAAAAGTTGCTTTTATTAATATCACAAAGACTTCAGATCTTGCGCCTACTGACACAAAGTCTCTTGTCATAGGAGATTTGTATTAAGATAAAAGGTGGGAAAGGACATACGTATCGTGTCAGAGTAAACACGCTACACCTTCGCTTATGATTAAATAAGTGATACAATCTCTAATCTCAAATAATATATAGAGTATATGTGTGTGAAATATATTTATAAATAAGGAAATAATACATTTGCAGTCCTAATTAGGCCAACCATTCAATTCTTTGAACCCGTCGATTATTTCCCTTAATTTCTCTTCAGTGAGTTGAGGAACTGTATATTCAAACCCTATCTCTCGAGTAATCAGAGTCCCGTCGATAGATAGAGCGTTATGAAGCAGCAACTCTTTGTCAATATAGGGACTTACGGGACTAATGGTAATATTGGCCTTTTCAAGTAAAGTTCCCCATGGGCCAATGTGTTTTTCGTTGATCTCCTCAACGGCGCTATCAAGGTCTTTTTCGACCAAAGTGTTGACAGTTCTGTTTTGAAAGCCAGTTTCGATTCCAAAGATTCCGCCGATCAGCTGGCTCAACTTGCCTAGATCTAGTAGAGAAAAACGGAATATTTTTTAAAATTTGCGCTCTCGCTAAAAACCCAAGTATTGCAAGATCTGACTTGCCTGTATCACCAGAATCAGCCAAGTTGTAAATACGTGATCCTTCATTTGACTGGCTAGGATCAGAATACCGTGTTGCAACCTGCCACATTGCACGTACAACGTCGTTCACGTGGACCGTGCTAATTTTCAAATCTTTTGTCCATAAATCCTTCATCGGTTCATCCAAATGCTTGTAAATCCTTCCGCAAACTAAGCGAGGTGTCAAACCAGTAGTGGCCCCTGTGCCGTATATGATTGCAGGTCTCAGAATAACGTAATTTAGACTTTGAAAGATAGGAAAATAGTTGATTAGCAATTGAGGAGGGGGGAAGGGTTCGAGTCGTAAAGAAGCAGTTAATAATATGAGGACGAAGATTACGTACTTGGGAATTTTTTTGATCTCTTCCTCGGCCCTAGCCTTGTATTTTGCAATAGTGGTCCAAGGCTTTATCTTCCCCTTCTCGTTACTAGGTTTCTATTGGATATAAATGGATAAGGCAAGAAAACAGTCTCGTTAGAAATATCGCGAGTTGACTTGTCCAGATGCTCCAACTGCTTTTACCAAGATTCTTAAGCAACCTTGTCAGATTCGTAGATCTCGGCAGTCGACAATTCAACGAAACATTTGACTCCACGCTTTGCCGCTTCCTGAGCATTTCGTGTGGACAAGTTGAAGATACGCTGTTCATAAAACTATAGAGATCCATAACGAAAAGAGTAAAAATAGTTTTCCTTGGGGTCATTCAAAAGAAATAAAGTGAAATTCGACAGTGAGAATAATCCCGAGATCCAATTACCAGTTCGTTCAGCGAATATCGAGTTTCTCCCGCACAGTTAAATACGTAATCAAAGGTACTATTATCGGCTCGCTCGAATGCTGATTCAATGTGAGCTAAATGATAAAGAAGTGACGTATACGAAATGAGGTTTGCGTAATTGGTCAATCGACTTTTTCGTATATAAAAAACCAACATATGCAAGGCATTCAATTCACAAGACTAATATTCAGTATGTAGATCATAAAGAGAGAACTCGACGTTTCTATTCATCTAGCTAGATATCGTTATTCCGTTTGATCATCTTTTTTTAAAGAGTCCTACCTTGATCAGACAAGTTCCCCTGAACGTATTCGACTTGTTCGAACACTTCGGTTTGCCTCTTGGTGAGATAGGAAGTAACAGGCATTGTTTTGTCGACAACACGTATTTCCGAAGCCAATTGATTCTCAACCAAATAAGTGACAAAGTGTCTACCAACAAAACCAACACCCCCAAGAACAAGAACTGTAGGCTTTGACGACATTCTGGATAAAGTTAAAAAATCTACGATGTTATCACTGTTACAATAAGGTATGAGCCTGGAAACTCTGTATGAAGAAATAGTCCTTTTTCTAGTTGAAAGACAGATAGATAGCTGTGGAGCGAATGTCCGGAATTTGTTCGGTGAACAAATTGAAGAGTCTAGAGCAATTCGTGGGTATAATAATACAAGAGTACAAAAGATTTTCGGTTACAAAAAACTGACTTTGTGGTAACATGGCGCCACAAGAGAGTGGAAAGCGCCACGAGTTCTAAACCAATTGTTTATCTTGAACGTAATGCCATTGTTGAATCGAATTCTCAAGCTTATGATGGTTGCCTTGGCGTATTGGCATAGCATTCAACAATTTCTTTGAGAGGAAAACACTGACGAACACTAATTGTTTCATCCAACTATAAAGTCTTGTATATTTCATTCATCATTCTTTTGTGGGGAAATGTGGGATATAATAGAGCCATATATACATATATATGCCGAGTATATGTGACTTTTACGTTGATAAAGTTTTTTTGCCTTATACTAGAAACCTGATTATGCTACGCATGTTAACCATATCTGAAAATGTCACATGATAAACTTCCCAATTCTGCGCATGTTGAGAGATAGCGATAGGGATATTTTACAATGAGGAGAGGGAAATCTAGAACCGAGAATGAGTGAGTGTTAGGGAAAATTTTTTAGCGTATTGACCTAATAAAAGTTTCCTTCTATTGGTTCAGTCATCATTTTTTCACCTAAAGGAGAATACGCCACAAATATTTTGCTCAATTTAAAAATTGTTTAAATGAATGAATCAAACAACCTTATCTAAGAATTACTTAAGCAGCGTCTAGGCGTTAAACCTGTTGTACCGGTTTTGTTAAATATTAACAGATATCTAGTTGATTGGTTGGATCAGCACAAATGATCGAGTACGACACATAATTGTGTTACGGATACTTTGAAGTGAACATAGTAATAGTCTAGCACGAATGATAAGTGTAATGGGGAGGAATTATCAACGATTGGTTGCCTTTGTCTGCTGCTATAATACTTAATGAAATGAGCACCATGTTTTGATAAGGACGAGTTTATTGACAGTGAATTAAAAATCATTTGCATCTTATTTGTTGACCATTTCTTCGGCGAGATTGTGAACAGCGAGAAACCCGGATGCTTGCTAGAAACTGTAGACTACACCCACAATGCTGCGAAGAATTATAAAATCCATAAAATATAAAGATATTTTGAATGTGCTTAATTCAACGCAACGAGTGTGACGTCGTCATTTGTGTCATTGATACGATTAATCGAGTCTCTGTATATCATAACTTGTGTATGAGCCCCAAAATGCACTGAGTGCAAATGGTTGACATAAGTAACAATTGTTTTCTTCATTATAACATTCTCATTTCACAGAATTACAATGAGGGTAGATTTTTGAGTTAATCGATGGACGAAAAGAATACGAATGTATTAAAAAGTATTCATGCATATTATTGCATACGTGTAAAAAATTAAACAAAGTAAACGCGCAATGCGGCTTGAAACTTTGATACTAGAACAAAGTCCAAGATTGCTCCGTAGAAATTACAACAATTTTAGACTAGAATTCGTGTTTTTTGTTTACTCAATAATTATTTTGCCCGACTGTAAAACGCTAGCAATGCATAGCACTAATTAACTAACTTCTTATTCAAAA